CACTACGCTACCAGAGCTCCCATATCTATATATATAATTAGGGGTTATAATAATTCCTGGCTTCTGGATTTACTTAGTTGTAAATTAAGAGATTAAGTATAAGTACCCAACAGGCAATGAATGTGCAATAAATACTTTATAATTATCATTACTTTTTTTTTTTTTTTTTTTTTACCAAAAGTAACATCTCCTTCAGCCTGAGCATCCCTGAGTTCATTCAACCCCTTCTTCTATTCCTTGAGTTTTGTGTTCCTCCCTCCAGCTTCTGTGACCTTCTCTGAAGTCACAGTTGGTGCTTTGTTTTCTTGTTGTCTTACAGGTTTACTCTGTATGCTGTGGATACACGGGGGCGGCACTCAGAGCTCAGCACAGTGACTCTGAGGACAGCCTGTCCGCTAGTGGATGACAACAAGGCAGAAGGTAGGTAACCCATTTCCTCATGTCACCAGTAAATTTCAAATTTGCCCTGAGTTCTGCACCCCAAAGTTCCTAACCACCATTCACCACACACATACTGGCATAAACAAAACGCAGAACAATCACTGCCGTGGAGTCAGATCTGACTCATAGCGACCTTTCCTTGGGTTTCTGAGGTGGTATCACTATGGGAGTAGATTGCCCAACCTTCCTTCCGAGGAGTGGCTGGTAGGTTTGAACCACCAACCTTCTGTTAGCAGTCAAATGCATAGAGAGAAGGAAAAAAAAAATGCAAAGAGCAGTAGGAAAAGGGGGTTGAAATTATGAAAATCATGAGGGGAATTGAGATTGGTTAGCAATATTTTCGCTAGTTGAAAAACTTGCTTCTTTTTTGTAGAGTTTTCCACGTTCTGACTTAGAAGTAAGGAATGGCCAAGGATCAGAGGCCTCTGCTTGGGTCCTCTCCCTTAGACTGGGCTTGTTATGGACCAATCACTTCCTTTGCCTTGATTCTATGCTAGATATGGTAAACAAGTGACACCCAGAAGACTGTTTCACCTTGCTGTGCCTACAGCAGACATCACTAGCTGATCACAGCATATTTTCCCATTTAGTCCCGTGATGGCCTCAGAATCCTCAGCACAGAGCTATAGTTAGTGACTATCAGCTAGAGTTAGCATGCAAGATTAAATCTTTTTACTGCTCCTGTCCATAAAGTTGTAAACAACAGGCCAAAACACTGGAAAATGCAACAATAAATCAGACCCATCATATATTTAGTTTTTGGGCAATGTGTCGATGCCATTTTGACATCAGGATTAAAAAATGTAATGGGATTAGCAGAAATGTAATGGTAGCTTATGTATCCTGGTGGTTCATCTCAAGCTAAGTAAATATTTCCTAAGTGTCCTGGGATAAGCTATATAGTGGAGATATGATACCCATCTTTTAAGAGTCTGTGTTCTAGGGAGAGAGAGACTGACATTTCTATAAATGGCCCTGATAAACTCAACAATCAATGTTTTGTGTTCTCTAGATAGAGGGAATGTTGAGCCATTGGTCTCCAAGATGAGAGGATTTCAGATGATTTTCTGACTGTTGTTTTTTTTTTAGAATAAATTTTAAGATAGCACATGCAAATGGTTACAAAAAATAAGAAAATTAAAAGTCATGGTAGAAAATGGTGCAAAGTAAATGTCCTCCCATTCTAATCCCCAGCTCCAGAGGCAACTGTTGTTAGCAGTGACTTGATGACATATATATATATATGGAGAGAGAGAGAGAGAGAGAGAGA